ATTACGCGTTTTCTACCGAACTGCAGTTTGACAAAAAGTCAGGTCTTGGTGACCCAGATCAGCATGGCCTACTCTGGCATTGTAGATAAGGACCAAGCCTTTCATTTCCCTTCTATGTTCTATTGGTAATAGAGAAAGTTTAAGCAGCCGATCCCTGTAGGAAATATCCCTTGGCTGATCCAAAATAAATTTTGTGGCCCTGCGCTGAACGTTTTCTAGCAATAGTTTGTCCTTTGACGTGTAAGGTGACCATAGTTCACAAGCGTACTCTAATTGTGGTCGAACAATTAGGCAGTACAAGAGTTTCTTGGTGTCAGGATCAGTAATCTCTACAGACCCTACGAATAAGGCCAAGCGTTCGGTTTGCTCTGGAGGAGATCTGCTTTATATGTTGAGACCATTGGAGAGTGTTGGTGACGGTTATGCCTAAATCTTTAATTTCGCTAACTGTTGCCAGTGGGGTCCCGTTAAGGTGGTATTTTCTTTTTGTGGGAATTTTCTTCCTAGAGATATTCAAGGCATTGCACTTGGGTATGCTGAGACACATTTCCGAGGTATCACTCCAGATTGAGAGCTGTGTTAGGTCTTGTTGAAGTGAAAATTTGTCCAGAGGCTTTTCAATTATCTTAAACAGCTTAGAATCATCTGCAAATATGGCAACTTAAGAAAAATATGAAAAAATAAATGAGAAAACAAACGAACACAGTTGCAGAATAACAGCCTCGTTCCCAGAAATAGGTCCTGGGAACGAGGCTGAAGGAATACAAAGGGTTTTGGCCATCTAATAGCACTTTGCAAGAGCTATTGGAATCCACAAAGAAAACTGGGGGTAGCCACGCATTTTTTCGAGATAATTAGCCTTGAATCTCAACAAAAATGCTTACATCAACATTTTCCTGAAAAAAGTAAAGGATATAAAAATATATCTATGTATAACTAAATTACAGTCCTAACAAAATACGCGTGCTGATTGGTTAAAAGTCGTGTTTCTATTAAACAATTAGATAGATTATGAGCTCGAGATTTCTATCGCGTGATAGTTGACAGGGTGCAGCCCGAGTTAACTATCACGCATAGAAATCGAGAGCGAATAATCTAATTGTTTTAGTATAAATCTAGTAGTTGTTCAAAACTTTGTCTAAATCCTGTTTACAGACACTTTGAAAATGCAAAGAAGCGGCCATCATTTTGTTAACAACTGCACATTGTTAGGCTACTCACCATCCACATGTACAAAAGAATAGATGGTGAGTGGTATAGCCAATAAAATATTAGAGAGAATGACATTGGAGAATGATAGAATGATAGAATGATACAATGATACAATGATACAATGATACAATGTTTGTAGATTTATACTAAAACTTGATAGAAACACAGAGGTCGCATGGGCTGTTGATGTAATTACACATATGGTGAGAACAAATTAAAGAGGATCTAAATTTTGCCAATCAAAAGAAAAAATTCATTTTCCTTTCTTTTTCTCACATTATAGAAAGGATTTTCTCTCTGTTTCTTTTGTGGTATAGAAATACTGATAGCAATTAGTTTGGGTGAACTAAAAAACACTCCCATTATGTGTCATCCATAACTTGTTAGTATAAATCTACTAGCATTCGTGCATGAATGCCGCTCTCTTATTGGCTATGCTACTCACTATCTATTATGTTGTAGATAGACAGTAACCCAGCAGTGGCTGTGGCTGCTTCTTTGCATTTTCAAAATGTATCTGAAGAAGAATTAGATAAAGTTTTGAATAACTAGATTTATACTGAAACAATTACACAATGTAGCCTATTCGTTTTCAATTTCTATGCGTGATAGTTGATTCGGACTGCATTCTCTTCAACTACAAGTATAACACATTAGAAATCTTAAGCTTATAATCTAATAATTGTTAAATAGAAACTGGGAAAGTGTTTTCTATTCCTCAATCAAATATAATGTCCATGACACAAACCTCCACAAAGAGAAACAAGTGCTTGACAAACATTGATGTAATAATTATAATGGGTTGTTTTGCCTTGTGAATCAACGTCATCATGCTTTATTATGTAAGGGGTGATCATGGCTCTAGTGAGCGGCGTCAAGTCGAAGTTAACAAATTCATTCCTCAGCACACAGCTATTTGTAGACATGACACTGGACTGTGGGCAAGCAAAGTCTGTCTCCCAGAGAACTTCAAATGCACAGTCATCAGCAGCTGTCAACAATGGGCCTTTATCACCCTGAAATAAAGATATATGCATCCAGTTTATACTGTGCTTAAGGAATATCATGGTGGTCCACTGGAGTGCCTTAATTGGCTCCAGATTGATAGATATGGGTTAGACACCTGACACAATTCACCAGAGCTGGCATTAAGGGCTGTAACCCATAACATCTGTTACAGCTGAGTATACTTAATTTTCCCTTGATCTACAGGTTTAATTGCCTGTTGTTGACAGAATTCACCCACAAAGTAACAAGACTTTTACCAATCATATACATCTGTACATGTAATCCTTCAATCCAAGCTAAAAATGTTCTTCAAACATTACAATCTCCATGAGCATGTTTGCATTGCTAACTTACCATTTGTTTTGGGCACTTGAAGGTTATGGTAGTTACAGGTAAGCAGCTGTCAACTTTTTGCATTGTGTTGTAAACAAGGATAATATCATTTTGTGGTGAGAATCGGAGATTACTGGCGTAATTGATATTTCCCAAATCGTTTGTTGTTTGAAGCTTTTTGTCTATTCTGCACATAGAACTGTTTG